TTGTAAATTTTTATGATCCGTCCAAACTTCGAATTTTTCTTTCAACCCTTCTAATAGGTGTCTCCATGTACTAAGTGCCCATTTTACGGCGAAAGCCTCCTTTTCCCAAATAGCCCACCTGCGTTCTGTGATTGTAAATTTCCGTGATGTATATGCACATGGCTGTAATTGTCCATCAATGTTATACTGTAAGAGGACAGCCCCCACAGCCACATCACTTGCATCAGCTTGTACTACAAAACTTTTAGTTGTATCAGGATGTTTTAAAATGGGCTCTTGAGCAAATAAAGCTTTCAGATCAAACGTTCGCTGACACTCCTGTGACCATACAATGGGTTGACTAGGTCTGGGTTTTGGCACTTGATGTTTAGTTTTTAACAATTCTGTTAGTGGTAAAGCAATTTGCGCGAATTTAGGAATAAACTGCTGGTAAAAGTTCGCAAATCCTAAAAAACTTTGTAATTGCTTTCGTGTTTTTCGCTCTTACCAATCAACTACGGCTCTGACTTTATTGGGATCCATTTCTATTCCTTTATTGGATATTCTGTACCCCAAATAATCCAACGACATACAGTGAAACTCGCACTTCGAAAGTTTCACATATAATTTGGCGTCAAGTAATTTTTTCAGAACTTTCCTCACTAAGGTCACATGTTCCTCCATTGTTTTGACATAAATTAAAATATTATCTAAATATACTAAAATGCCACAATATAAATGTTCTTGTAATACTTCATTTATAAGTTGCATGAAGACAGCGGGTGCCCCTTGCAACCCAAATGGCATAATGTTAAACTGAAAACTTCCAAGGGGGCAATTAAAAGTAGTTTTCCATTGATCCCCCTCTTGTATTCGAACTCTATAGTAGGCTTCTTGTAAGCCCAATTTCGTAAAATACCTGCCAGTCTCTAACATTGCTAACAAATCATTGATCAGTGGTAAAGGATATACATTGTCTATACAAATAGCGTTGAGCCCGCGGAAATCAACACAAAGACGTAATCCATCTTTTTTCTCACGAAACAAAACAGGCAGCTATATGTGATTTCCCGGGTTGAATAAATCCACGTGCCAACTTTTTGTTAAACACATCTGCTAGGTCTTTATATTCCTCTGGACAACGTAGTTCTTCAGAATCATCTATAGCTGTTACAACTTGGGGACATAGGGCCAACTGCAATTCGTAACTTCCTAAAACCGTCTTCCCACCGTTTGTCTAACTATACTAGACTTAAAATTAGTGCCTCCCTCATCTGTGGTACTACAATAAATCGTAAAGACTCCCAATGACTCCCTATCTCTAGTTTGATAGGGGTTGTCATTATTGTAGCAGGACTCCCACCTAATAATGAACCGTCCACTTGTTCAAAACACATAGCTTTGGCAGACATGATATTCTTCCGATTAAAATTGGAATTCTGATTTTTTGGGGAATCGCCCCCCCTTTCCCCCCTTCTTCTCCTTCACCTCCCCTCGGAGGCCCCCTGAGTCAGGAGGCTCCAGTCCTGCGTTGCCTCGGGAAGGGAAAGGCAAAAAGGAAGAGCCGCGGCGGCGCTTTGCAACGGCAGCAGCGGCACTGGAGGCTCAGGCGCAGCGGCTCCCGGTTTTGCCTTTCCCTTCCCGAGGCAACGGGACTGGAGCTGCGCGGAGCCGCACCGGCAGTAGCAACTCCTGACAGCCCCAGCCGGACACCTGAGCGGAGCCCGGGTGGTGCGAGCGGAGGCCGCTGAGCGGCAGTAAAAGGGAGCTGGGCAGCCACAGACCAGCCGTCTCTCCGTCTGACGGCCTTGGCCGAATCTCTGCCTCCCAGCGCGCTTGGTCCTCTGCCCGCAGGCTTCCCCGGCCCCTTGCCAAGTGGGTTTTCTGCCCCAGCCCGGCAAGGCCCTCGCTGCCTTCCCCTCGCCTAGCCGGCCGGGCTCCTTGGGCAACCCGGCTGCCTCGTGCCGAGAAGCGCGCTGCCAGGCGGAGGCCACGCAGCGCAGGGCAACACGCCACTGCCCGGCCCTGGCGAGGGAAAGCGGGTGCTCCCCGGGCGGCGGCCTTGGCCCCACCACCAGGGAAGCGGCTGCCCAGCTCCGGAGCTGATCCACACCCAACTGGCTGGAAAGGGTGTGTAGCGTTGGTGTTGTGTGTGCAATTTCTTGGCGCGTGGCGTGGGGTCTCTTTTGGCCGGCCCCGATTTTTTTTTTCAGAGGGGAATATCATGCCTGGTTTGGGCAGTTCTTCCACCGCTAACTGTAATTCACCAACCACTTTTTTACTAATTAAACATCTAGTACATCCAGTGTCGATTAATGCTCCATACTGACCCCTCAATTTGCTTGTTAGATTTTCCAATACTACTGGTATAACAAATGGACGCACAAGATTACTCACAAATCATCCTCATCCGGACTATCTCCACTATCGTATAACCCTGAGACTACCTTGGGTAGTTGTTTGCCATCAGGTGTTTTCCTCTCATATCTATTTGTCATTACTTCCGTGTTCGTTTTTTGTGACACCCCTTGAGATCTTTCAGATGTAACTATCCCTTGTTTCGTACCACGGGGCATGATACCACCTGGTCATCTCAGAACCACTGCACCATATCTTTCAAAAATCCTGGAGCACCAGGGAACTACCAGAGGACTGGAAAAGAGCTGATGCGGTTCCCATCTTCAAAAAAGGAACAAAAACAGACCCAGGAAACTATAGACCAATCAGCCTAACATCAATATCCGGGAAGATACTGGAAAAGATAATAAAAAAACAGATCTGCCAATATCTAGAAACAAGTAAAGTAATAACTAGCAGTGAGCACAGGTTTGTTAAAAACAGATCATGCCAAACCAATCTTATTTCATTCTTCAACACAGTGACTAAATTAGTAGACCAGCAAAATACTGTGGACATAATATATTTAGATTTCAGCAAGGCATTCGATAAAGTAGACCACAACCTACTTCTTAGTAAGATAGAAAAAAGTGGAATAGATAGCACCACCACTAGATGGATTCGCAACTGGTTGGCAAATTGTACGCAACAAGTAGTCCTTAATGGGTCTAAGTCTACATGGAGGGAAGTAAGCAGTGGGGTGCCACAAGGTTCCGTCTTAGGCTCAGTACTCTTCAATATCTTCATTAATGACTTAGATGAGGGAATAGAAGGGGAACTTACCAAATTTGCAGATGATACTGAGCTGGCAGGAATAGCTAACACCCAAGAAGATAGGCTCAAGATCCAGATAAATCTTGACAGACTAGAACACTGGGCCGTATCTAATAAAATGAAATTCAATATAGAGAAAGGGATTATCAACTTCAGTCATCTCTCTCTTGGTTAGCTGGCTGCTCCAACCAGAGGAAACTAACCCAAGGAGAGGTAAATCTCATTTAGGGGATATAGTGAAGTTTAGCATCCTGGGGAACCCTAAGGTGACTATTACTGCTTTAGCAAAGGCATTAAAAAGCTGCCTCGGTTCACTGAGGCAGCCCCGGGCCTGTCTGAGCCATGAAGCCTTTTTCAGGGCAACCATTCGAGTGACTCCTGCCAAGCACTTTCGCTCTGAGGCAGGAAGACTTAACTTCTCCCTTCAGGAAGGTAGGCAAGATGGGGTAGGGTTTTTCTTCTCCTGACTTTGGAAAATGAGAATGGGTGTCTTTAAAGGAAATCCAGATTTTAGCAACTAGGCAACAATTCAGTGAATTAAAATGTGAGATTAGGCAAAGAGGAGGAATTGGATTTGATCTTGGTCATATCCAACAGACTGGGGAGGGGACAATGGCAGTCTCAATTTTGTTACATTATTACCCCCCACTACAATCCCCCCCTTTCACTGCTTATTTGGTACAAAGCCAGCTGGCTGACCTTGGCCCTGTTCCTTTCTCTCTCAACCCTAAGTAGCAGGCAAGAGAAAACCATTTTGGAAAAATCTTGCCAAAAAAACTGCTGGGATTAGTCCAGGCAGACACCGTGGATCAAAAAATTGTGTCAAAGGCAAAGAAAGGGGAAAAAAATACTTCATAAGGTGGTGTGTTATTTTGAGGTAGATTAAAAATGGCCTACAGTATCTATTTCTTATCAACTTGAACCCCAATGAAATCCTAGTTTTATTCTTGCAGGTAGGGTGTCCACACAAGTTCTCTAGGTAAAAACCCAATATTACACTACCTTATATCTTTGCATTAATACTTCTTGCTTCTGTATCAGAAAACAAAAATGTAATGGTGTAGAGACAAAGGAGGTTTCCAAGAATAAAAGCCCATTTCTGCTGTAGGTTATGAAAGCAGTAATTGGAGCTGAAGCAAGTTCCAAATAAATGTTAAGTTTCCCCATGTAACATCAATAGCAGCAAAGATATGGCAAACTGTGGTTTTTCCACCCACTTCTGGTGATGTAGTTCATAGGCAAGTTGGAAAATGTGGAAAAGCAAGTGTTGCTTTACTACCAGAAATTCCCCCCCCTAAATAGATGCTGCCCCCTCCTCCCATTGTTGCATTTATGCAGATTGTCGCAGGGCATGTTTACAAATCTACAACTTATATAACTCATTGTCTTTCTCAGAAACTCCTTAATAATTCCTAGAAATGTTTTCTTGACTCTCTCTTGTGCTTCATTTAACATAGCTGGTCCTTTTAATTTCATCCCTCCTTTTGAAGCAATATTGAGGGACTGGAAATAAGCTTAGAGGACATCACACAGGAATCTATTTAAAATAAGAGCTTGTCTCCTTGAACATGCAGTATTTGTGTAAGGGCAAAAGAGGATCCATATGACAAAGAGGATCCATTTGATAAAAAAAAGAGAGAACAAAGCATGAATTTTGAATGGATTTCTTGCATTCATAATTGTAGCAATGTGAAGATACCGTATCTACATCTACATAAGAATTGAATTATTACTGGAAGTAATCAGTTAATGGCAGATTTTCTATCTAATCAACGAAGAACTGAAATATCAAGAGACTCTTTATAAGCCATTGGGTATAGCTTTATTTATATATTTTCTGTATAACAAATTTAGAGCTTTGTCATCCTGCTTCTTTTCTTCCAGAGCACTAGCACAGCAATAAATAGGATAATCCCAATGATAGGTAGTACCACCAAAAGTACCAGTGTCAGGTCTTCACTGGAGATCACATCTGTGGATAAGAGAAAAGTGTTTGTAACTCACTTATTGTCATCTCACAAAGCGGTTGCCACTTGACCAAGGCTATTGAAAAACATTTTTCTTGCTATATTATGGTTATTCTGTAGGGGCCACAGAAATAGCACTGAATAAAATATAATGATGTCCATATTTCTTATGAAAGCTCCCTTAATCTTTTCATAACATATGTAAAGTCACCATGGGCAAATAGGTGGCAATATAAATCAAATAAATAAATAAATAAATAAAATATTCTATTGTAGAATATACAATGGCTTGAGATCCAAATTAATAGCAAATTCTATCAGCATTACCTCAGCTTGGGGTAAAAAGAATGAGGGGAAGGGGATGCTTACAGCTTGGGTTTTTCTGTAATACTAATGTAAAAGCTTCAGGGTTGTCAGTACATTCTGGAATATCAAAAGCAATAATTGTCAGCTGGTGCCCATTTACCAATCCACTTATAAATATTCCTATTTAAATGACTATGCATATCAAGCATTCACTTTATACAGGAATGTAGTAACCCCAGGTTAGTGTTTTGAGGAAAATATGAAGTATGTTAAATATATTTTAATTCCTGGCTCTTCATTATTGTAATTACTTACCATTCTTCCACTCGACTTGTTTCTCTTGAATACTCTCTTGAAAAATTACAGCTCCATAAGTGCTTACTAAGTCCAAGGATTCTGTCTCATTTTCCTCCTTCAAAAACCGACGGCCTCCTAAGACATAGAGGACAAGATCTCCAATAAGATACATAGAAATGATAAATTACCAGCAGGTTGCAATATATTTCCATTTAACTACGAAAGGGGAAAGTTCTAAAAGAAAAAAATAGAAAAGTTCAAAAGACCACTACCTCAGCTCAATCCACCTCACACAGTTGTTATGGAGAAAAGAAGAGGAATGGGCATTAGGTATGTTTGCTGCCTTGAGTTAATAATAAAAAATAACAAAGGTGGAATGTTTAAATTAAACATATACAAATATTTTTTTAAAAATGAATCCATGGGAGAATCAGGGAATTATAAATAAGTAAGCTTAACATCAGGCAAACTGGTGAAAACACTATTCAATGAAAAGGAATTGAAGCACACAGAGGCATAAGGCTCTACCAAGGGAAAAATCTGCAGATTTTACAATGCCAAATATTGATTTGCCAATACTTCATTCTTTTTTAGAATAACCTCCAAGTGAATGAAAATAACCTTGCTCGTGTTCAATATTTGGATTTTCTAAAAGCCTTTGGCAAAACTGGTAATGAAAATACAATTTAGTGGCAATGAGATCAAAGGCTTTGTTCTTTTACATATTGTTAACAGGCAAACAAAACAAAAAACAAATCAGTAATGCACTGAATGGAGAGAAACAAGTAGAGTTCCTCCAAAAGCTTTTTCAGAACCAGTGCTTTTTAACTTAAAATGCACCTAATCAATGTTGGAAGAGCCCTTAAAACTTTAGTGCTTCTTCAACGGAGGAACTGCTAAAACATTTTGGACATGTGACTATGTATCTTCTATTTGAAACCCTCCAGTAAAGAATGATATATCACATCATGAGCATTATCAGGAAATTCTTAATATTTAATCACCTGAATCTATGTCCCTCTGATTCTTGCACTGCCCTCTGCTTCTGGGCTGAAAGAGACCAAGTCTATTTCCTCCAGTGTATATCTGAAAACTGCTACCATTTCTCTCCTCAGATTTCTCATGAGGCTGTGTTTGTCAATCCCCTTACCACCTTATAGTTATCCTATGAACTTGCTCCAGTGTATCAATGTCTACCTTATACTGCAATGTCCAGAGATGAACACAATATTCCAAGTGGGGTTTGATCAAGGCTGAGTAAAATGAGACAACTGCTTCTTATGGTCTTCCTTGCTCATACAAAAATTTGACTTTATGGGTAAGCAATGACCTAGTTAGGTTTACAGGCAATGCTAAATTATTGAAAATGATTTTAAAAATCCTTCCTTAAACTAGATCATGTTTGATTTCTTCATGCATTCCAAGATATATTGATGTTAACTATTTTTATATATTATGTGCCTCATGAACAGATAAGTTGAGGGAGAAAAGTCCTTTAAAACTGTGGCAGTGAAACAGTCTAACTTACTTGAAGCCACTGGCATTTGACATGCAACCCTGCAGGAATCATGATCGGGGGGATGGCAAACAGATACACTGCAGAAGAGGTACACCTTGAAAAGATAGAACACAAGTCTGTTAATAGAGTAGACCAGCCTCAATCTTGCCAGGTCTAATTTTAGTTACTTTCAAGATTATAGCTTCTATTAAGATATATCTCCAAAATATGTACTCATTAACGCCTTGCTAAAAAAGATATTTTCAGTCTCCTTTATTTACCCAAATAAGCAAGCAATGGGCAGTGCCCTAACAGTTAAGGTATTGTCTATTTTGGCCATCTCTCTTTAGATATATGATAAGCACAGCTTCCATGAACAGTTTATTAGATACAAGTATTCAAAAAACAAGATTTCTTAAACAGATTTGTAATAAAAGATGACGACAAATAAATATATTGGTCTCACCCCAAAATGCCCATTAAAAACCCAGGTTAATGCCCTCCAGAGATTTGTTTCAGACCTGCTCCTTAGCAACATGTGTGATCTGTACTAGTATTAAAAAGCCGACCACACCATTTTCTTAGGAAAATAGTTACTAGATTCCCCCCCCCTTACACTCAAGTAGCATACTGTGCACATTGTCCCCTACTCTCTTAGAAGGTAATTTCATTGGAAAAAACTGAATATAAAAAGATTATTATTTTGCTTATCTTCTTACCAAACCATCTAGCACCATTTGAGGGGCAGAATCCACAAATGTGAATGTGTAAATGATGAAACGCTGGTAGTGATTAGGAAAGCGAAGTTCTGACGTAGCAGGTCCCATGGGTACCAGCTGGGTTCTGTAGTTGTCTCCTTCAAATGGGCACCTGTGAAGAAGACGCATTAGAAAGGCTGTCAAGACATGGCTCTTTCTCCAAGCCTTGGGCTCGTGATGTGTTGAAGGCCCAATTGTGTGATGGTTTCATTTCCATTTGGATCTACATTTTATTGTTTCATCATTATTAATTGGTTTAACCAGGTGTGCTGAATTTTCTGTAAGCCACCGAGAGTCACATTGATTAAACTGGATGGCCATATAAACTTGTTTTAAATAAAGTAAGTATAACATTGCCATTGAAACCACCCAGTTCTTTGAGAATTAGCATTTTTCTATTTACTTACCCATCTACTAGGATTGGCCACTGTAATTGCTCAAGGGGATTTGAACTTGGAGTAGCCCAGCACTCATTAAGAACCAGAACTAGGGATGGGTCATCTCTCTGTAGGATGCGAATCTCTACATGCACAGGGTCTCTCAGGATCTTCACAATAGGATACTGTGAGTAGTATGAGGTATAGCTCGAATCTGGGGACAAGAGGCAGAATAAGGCTGTATGGTTTTTCAAGGCAAAGAGATGCACAGCAGTCTTGATATGAGACATAAAGGCATGTGTACCTGTGGCAATGCGCAGCTCAAGCCGGAGAGGCCCTACTTGGAAAATTGGAGCTGGGCTAGGAGGTGAAAACACTTCAACCTGAAGTGGCAGGAAATCAGTAGTGTTGTAGATACAACGAGCATGAAGCCTACATGTACAAGATGGAAGAGACTTTCCTGTAAATCATTTGCTTTGAGTAGAATATTCAAAATGAATCTTAGTTTTAGTAGATAGCTATCCTTTCGAAGGTTTTGAGTTAACAAATTTCTGTTATAACATGATTATTTATGGCAATCTAAACAAACGTGAATCAAACTGCACTTAACAGTTGGATGCTTTCAAAAGAAGAGCTATGGAAGATGGACCTTAGTTTACAAATGATGCACTTGAAAGGCAGTCCACAACCAATCTATGCCAAAAGTGGGAAATCTTCTATACTTGGACTTCCATTCCTATTCTTATCAGCTAACATGGTCCATAGTCTAGAAAAATAGTTACATCAGTCAAAAGCTAAAGGAGACCAAGATCAAATCTGTAAAACTTAATTTAGAAGACTAAAAATATCCATATCTTAAAACTAAAGGGAGAACTATCTCATTGGTACATGGCAAACTCAACATACATTAAGGTACTGTCTCGTGTAATAGAGCCACCTGGCCCTTTTAGGATGTCAAGGCCAGAAACAAGCTGGTTTTCGTATATCAATTTGCCACCAGTCACCTAGAAGGATAACAAACAACAGCATTTTTATATGGTCTAATAATTAAATCAAAGATCCTTCAAGTTCCAGATAGATTAGCACTTGCTGAGACAGCATCCTCACCTGAACAGTTGTGCCACACTGTGTGAGAGGAAAGCGGAAGACCAGGAAAGATTCTGTTTTTCTGATTGGACTGCAATCTGCTTGGGCATAGGAGAGTCTGACACTCTCCAGGATAATCGGATAATCCAACATATCCCTGGAGATTGCCAAAATGAAGTAGCCATCTCGAAGGCATTGAACAGTGACTGCAAGACACAAATTGCAGAGGTTAAAGGGCAAACAGATCAAGAACTCTTGGGGTGAGTGGGTATGTTTGTTTATTTTCAGGAAAAGGCAGAAGTGATAGTTCTCTCCCTTAATCTCATCAGACTGGGATAAGAAACTACTGCTCAGCTGCTTTCTCACAGAAGCTTTGTTGTTTCTCAAATTAAAAATAAAGAGTATCTAGAATAAGCTTCACCAATGTGAATCAATGTGTAATCTGCAAACGTCCCAGTGAATATGTCAGAGTTCCTGCGAATGCCCTAATGAAATCATAAGCCTTGAGCCAAGCTTCAAAAGAATCCAAAAGATTTATTAGGAGCAACATGTCGGCATTGAGCCATATGAAAAAGGATTTTGAGGCCAGAAGATCCAGTAGCCTAGGCTACAATCTTTGTAAGACAAACATGGAATGTACCTCTGGTTTTAATTGCCGTACTGCCCCTTCAGGTCCCCCCCCCCACCTGCTTATGGCAACTTGAAAACAGGCATAGAAATGCTTTACAAGTTGACAATAATTTCTAGAATTATTGACCATGCTGGTTGAGAATTGGTGTTCCACTGTAGTTTGGTGCAGTAAAGGTGCTGGTCTAGAAACAGAAGACAGTGAATTCTAGTCCCACTTTAGGCATGAAAAACCAGCTGGATAACATTGAGCTAGGCACTCAGTCTCAGCCCAACTCACCTTTCAGAGCTGTTGTGATAGGAGGAAGGAATATGAGTAAGTTTGCCACTTTGAGTTGTATATGGAAAAAAGGTGGGATAAAAAAAATCTAACAAAAAATCCTAAATAATATGTAAAAACCTTAAAAATGAAACTTGCACAAGATATGACTATTGCATATAAACTCTCTTTTTAGGAAAATGATCTTATTTGAAAAAATGCTGCAAAGAATGTGGATAAGGAGGGGAAAAAAACCTGTTACCGGGTTTTGAGAGCAAACAAGACATTTTCACTTTCAAAGTACAGCAATGGATGGACCCTAGGCTCAGAATTAAGTTTTTTTTTTTTACTTTTTACCTGTGTTGCCATAGTAGCATGGAGTCACCTGATCCCTAGCATCATAACAGCAACCAGTCTGATGGCAAGCTGTTGGTCCTTGTACATCTGCACAGGGTATTCTCTCAGAAAAAACTTGGCATTGCTGCTGAGTTAGAGGGCGACCTGGTAAGAGAAATTATATTGTTTAGAAACTAGAAAAATTAGCCCTTAATGACTAGATGCCTATATCATAATAAACCATAATGTTTTTGTCTGGTTTGAGCTTAGCATCACAAACTCTTGTGATTCAATGAACAAAGGGAGAAGGCCAGAAATACACAAGAAGCTGAAAACTGAAAGGGCTTTATACCTAAACATAAAGACATCACTTGTGACTTGTTAGGTTGTTTCAGAGATATTTCCTTACTGGATTCCTCAATGCCTTCAAAAATAGCAGAACTTCCAATGGACATCAAGAGTTGTTAATGTATCTCCATGGAAAGTAAACCATGTTGAACTGTATAGCAGTCAAACATCAGGAGCTGACATATGAAATGTTTCATGACATTTTGTATTATGTCATAAAATACTTTGATAATTTTTACGTCATAAAATGTTTTATAAAACTTGCCAGATTTCAATTCCACAGGTGTCATGGGTACCAGATGTTAGATGCATTATACAAGTTAGCCGATTTGAGGTAAATTTGGTTGAAAATATTTCGGCCTATGAGGCACCATTTCAATCAATTAAAGGTTACAGACACACAGGATTTAGTAGTGTATAAATTAAAAAAAACAAGAACTAGAAAAGCAATATAGAGCAATAATACCTATATAAATCCATTTCTTTTTCACTGTATGATAAGATCTGCACATTCAGGAATTAAAAACATAAAGCCAGAAAGCAAAGTTACTTTTATGGAGTGACAGTATATGCTCCATATTGCACATGTACAAAACTGGCAATAACAAATATTTAAGTAAAAAGAAAATTCACATACCTATACTAGACTGGATAACCATTGGATGTACAGGCCCAGGAAAGGGCTCCCCTGGATGAACATGATCTGGTTGAAGTGGAAGAAGCTGGCCAGGTTGGGATTCGCCTGAATACACCAGGCCTGGCTGAAACTGCCCTGGATGCACTAAGCCAGGTTGTGACACAACAGGATGCACTAGGCCAGGCTGGAGTGGGTGCACCTGACCTGGCTGGAGGGGATGCATGAGCCCAGGCTGAGATTCTCCTGGGTGAACCTGTCCTGGCTGAATTGGGTGCACGAGACCTGACTGAGATTCTCCTGGGCGCACAAGACCGGGCTGAGATTCTCCTGGGCGCACCTGTCCTGGCTGGATGGGACGCAAGAGACCAGGCTGAGATTCTCCTGGGCGCACCTGTCCTGGCTGGATGGGACGCAAGAGTCCGGGCTGAGATTCTCCTGGGCGAACCTGTCCTGGCTGGCTGGGATGCAAGAGACCGGGCTGAGATTCTCCTGGGCGAACCTGTCCTGGCTGCATGGGACGCATGAGACCTGGCTGGGATTCTCCTGGGCGCATCTGTCCTGGCTGGATGGGATGCAAGAGACCGGGCTGAGATTCTCCTGGGCGCCCCTGTCCTGGCTGCATGGGACGTATGAGACCTGGCTGGGATTCTCCTGGGCGCACCTGTCCTGGTTGGATGGGATGGAAGAGACCAGGCTGAGATTCTCCTGGGCGAACCTGTCCTGGCTGCATGGGACGTATGAGACCTGGCTGGGATTCTCCTGGGCGCACCTGTCCTGGCTGGATGGGATGCAAGAGACCGGGCTGGGATTCTCCTGGGCGAACCTGTCCTGGCTGCAATGGACGCATGAGACCTGGCTGGGATTCTCCTGGGCGAACCTGTCCTGGCTTCATGGGACGCATGAGGCCATGTTGGGATACACCTGGTTGTAATAAACCAGGTTGGAGTGGGTCCATTTGGCCAGGCTCTATTGGGTACACTAAGCCAGGCTGGGATTCCCCTGAACAAACTAGGCTGTGCTGGAGTGGGTGCACCATGCCAGGTTGGGATTCCTCTGGAGGCGTACGACTGGGCTGTGCTGGATGTACCTGTCCAGGGTGCACATGACCTGGTTGGGACTCCTGTGTACACACTATGGCAAGCTGGGACTCTCCTGGACGCATTAAGCCAGGGTGGAATGGATGTACTTGGCCAGGCAGGAGTGGGAGAAGTTGACCAGTCTGAGATTGTCCTGGATGCACTCTGCTGGGCTGGTGTGGCAGAAGAAGACCGGGCCGGGACTGCCCATGGTGCACCAGGCCTAGCTGGGATCCTCCTGTATGCACTAGAACAGGTTGCGGCTGGTTGACACGGCGCATATTGTTCTCTGGGGTTGTGACATGCTCCTGTGGCTTGGGGCAGATCATGTTGATCTCATGAACAGCTACTACTCTTCCGTTCCTTGTTAGTTCCTCTAAATGGACTTTCAAGTGATGTATGCCATCCTAGAAAAATGTTAATCCAACATGTTACAATATAAGCTTTTAGTAGATAGTCATATATCGGAACTACCAATTCTATAGAACTGGGCTGAACCAGTAGAATCCCGCCCCTGACTCTCTATATATGAGTGCCTCACATCAGCAGGAGATGGTGATTGCTTGCAGGAGAAGTTGTTTTGCAAGTCCTGCGCATGCAAAGCGCATGCTCACTGAACTGGTTGTTATGCCGGTAGGATCCCACCCCTGTATATAGTGTCTGTCTTTCTGTCTGTCTGTCTGTCTGTCTATTTCAGGTTTTATCTAAATCTCTTTGGGTGTTTTTACATTAATTGCTATGCTTCAGAAAATGTTTTAACAGTAAAAAAAGTAAAAAAAAAAAAACCCATCTCCCATCTTTTAGGATTAGGATTTCCAAATCACAGTAGTTTGCAAGTATGGAATTTCCCTTCCATTATTTTTTTTAACACAACTTGTTCCTCTTTGTAATTTATGAATAATGGGAGCCCCTGTAGGTAACCTGTAAGCCGTATAGGGTAGGGCAGACTTAAGAAACTAATTCTATATAGGGCTAAAAACACAATACTGTAGTAACAGAATTCCCCTCCTTCACTTTACCTTGATGTTAATTAGGGAGGGGGTTGTCTGATATGTTTTGTCCCTTTAGTTTCTTAGAATGGACTCAAGCTCTGCTTGTCTGATTGGTTTGGTAGCAACTCTAGCTTCTGTGCTTCAAAAACGATTCCCTGTGCTTTTTGCATTGCCCTTGAATTTGCTGGGGGTGGGGGGGTGGGAATGCAGATCCAGGTGACTACATAAATTATATTTCTGCCTTTCCCAGCATGGGGCCTTACTGAGGTTTGGGTGGCAATTCTCCTAATTTCTAGCCTACATTGTTTTTGTTTGGAGCAAATTTCAGCCAAAAATATTTGATGGAGATAGATTGGGAAAAGCTCTTCTAAGTAGAAATTCAGAAGTACAATACATATGTCTACAGCTCCCCGCCCCCCCCAGCATTTTTCCAACAAAGTCTCACCTTCTTTATTACACCGCAGCCATCATAGCCAGCAGAGAAGGCAACTGTCCTATTATGTGATGTGATCACGTGATGACAGAAGGGACAATTGGAAACTTCAAAGACTTTCCCGAATTCATCTGTTGACAAAAATTAATGCATTAACTATCAAAGGCTATTTATCCAAAAAGTAATCCAAAAGTAATCCAGTAGCATTAATAGGCTCTGCAAATATGTGTTCTTTGGATTACTTACATATTCTTCACAACAACACCCCACCAATACTGAAGAGATATAAAGGCTAGAAGGAGATTTTTAAAAATCATTTCTGAAATTTGTATTTGTTATAGATTCCATGAATTCTTTCAGCTTCCTCTACAGTACAGTTAAATAAAAACTAACTTTGGACTACAATTCTCTCCAATAGCTATACCGGCTAGAGAATTCTGGGAGTTGAAGTTACCTCTCAGAAAGAGGAGGCTATAATAGTCATAAATTAGTTTGTTTGGTCCTATGGCTAATTCCAGCCATGAGGATTGTAAATCATACGGTAGTTCATTGTAGGAACCAACTAATTATAGTTTATTTGAAAAACTTCATTTATGTGAATCAAGACAGTCTCTGAGCTGACATTCTTATAGGAGGTGTTTATCTGAAAACAAATTCTACAAGAATTGAATGCTAGATTAAATAATATCAAGAAAGAAACTACAGAAACCTTAGCAAGTAATAGCAAGCAGCTTCGTTTAAAAAGCCAAGATTTGTGAATAGCTTTCCTGGCTTTGCATTTCTAAACCTCCAATTTCACTCCCCAAGGATTATGGAATCATTTCTTACACATACCTACAAGTTGCTAATCTTTCCTAGTACTTTAATTTCCTTGTAAAATTTCCTGTCCCTATTAAATGTTTCACACCAAATTATCTAGCCAAAATTATGTTAGAAGGAAGCTGCTTGTGAATCATGGATTGCCAATAGCTTGTTTTCCTCTTGCTCTTTTCACTATAATTTCATGCTAATTGCCTTACAAGTTCACTAATTGTAGGGCAATTAGCATGTCCTATAAGACCCAGGGCAATGTGGGTTTAAATCCCTCTAACCACAATACTCTCTGGGTGACCCTGGCCAATAAACAACCGAGAATAAAATATGAGAGGTGAAAGAAGACTTAAGGTGATGCCTTTTAATACAGTTTGTTAGTTGGAAAAAGTGTTGCCCAGGCTCCTTCCAATTGCTGCTTCTTTAGATCAACATGTCTCTCCCTGCTAGAATGCCAGCAGAAGTTGTTAGGAAAGCCTACATCTAATTCCGAGTTGTAGAAATGGCAATTAGATATTCTGAGTCAACTTGATATCAACTCTTCACTCACAGGGAGAAAGTTATCTCACATCCTTTTGCTCAGTAATACTAAATACAGGAGTAGCCACCACACCCACCCACCCCAAAAAGGATTACTATGTGTTGTAAACATGAAGTCCCCTACAGCCCCTAGAGTCGTCTTGTTACAAGAGATTTTACAACTCCAATTTAGTATTTTGCAGGAAAACAAGACTATTGTCCTTACCCACAACTTTAAAGCGGACCGCTTGGCTGGGACTGGGGTACACAAGCAATTGCAAACCATGGTCTCCGCACTGATAGAGATACTGGAGGGCTTCTGTACCAGCTTTCCAAAAGTCTGCTTGTCCATGACATAACCCCAGAATCACCAGGATTACTAAACCTAGAGAGCCACTACAACCCCAGCCCATGGTTGTAGCAGCCAAAAAAAGAAATGCTGCACCAACAAGCTGCTACTGCTGGTAAAAACAGAAGGGAGGCAGAACTGAAACTATAAAAGAACAAGGGGGGGAGGTGGATTGGCTGGAATGAAAATTTACTCAGCAGTGTCTGCACCTGTGGATCTGCAAAGGCCAAGTGAGGGATAGGGTCAAAAGAACAAAACTCAACCAAAAGAGAAGCATATAGTATTCATCCAACAACACTTCCCTTCCACTTTTTTCTCTCATCCTTTCTTTAGGAGTTATTGCAGATTAGAGAATGAGGCAATCTACACAAATTTGGAAGCAAATTCTACTAAATTCAGTAGGGCTAAACTAAGTTTTGCATAGACTTTAGAAGCAGGTGTATTGTCTCAGTTCTTTACATTCCCCCCCCCCCCCCTTATGCTGCCCCCTTTTCTGAGACTGCACACTTTCATTTTCTTTGAAGTTTTTAGGGCAAACAAATTTAGTAAGATAAGATTGGAATAGCTTCTCCTGTTGAATTTCACCCTATTACACAGTGCAGCTGTTTCTACTCTGCAGGGAAACTATGTCTGCCAGAGATTTGTTATGAAGGGTGCAGATTAAATTATTTTTATGATGCATATAGGTTTTTAAAAGAAATTAATCAGCAGCCCGCAATATTATAATGTACAAAGTACTCCAGTCCACACCATGGAGCCACCCATAGCTTTCCATTTTCTTCGTCTTGATACTAATTTAGTGTTGATTAGACAGTTTTAGATTTCATCCCTGAGTTTTTCTTTTTCCTTGAATCTCTTTTTGTCTTTCTGCAAATTTTAGAGTTACCCAATCTATTTATACCTCTCTTTTGTGATAAACTGAGCCCAAAGATTGGAAGATGAAAATATTATTAGCTTGGAAATGAAAGAAGTGTTTCAGCCTCTATTTTCTGGTAGAATGTTGTTTATTGTATTCTTTCTGTTATATTCATGGATTTTATAATTTGTACCATTTGGGCATATGGTCACATTACTTACTTTCTAATTTATATTGCTTTTCTCTGCCTTTCTCTAAGTTGCATCCTGACCCTAAACACCACTGAGGTAAATGATTGCAATCTTTCCATTTAGTATGTCTGATATATTTGTTCCAGTCATGATTTGGCCTGCAAAAATGCAGGTGACCACTAGATGGTCCAAAGATATGTGACTAAAAGCCTAAATGCTAATAAACACAAGTCACTATCAGAGTTTCTAAAGTTCTTAAAGATCAGAGGATCCAAACTGAAAAAGATGGCCAAAAAATTAATGTTGGGAAACTAAAAATCATCACCTACTCTGGAGGAGATTTTCAAGTGCAATAAAAAAGACACAGGTTCACAGCATGAGAGTTACACATATTTCCCATGATCCCTGAATTTATTGTTCCAATGTTCTCATTTCACCCCATGTCCACTGGATTAAGAGTGTTTTTCTGCAATGTGAAGTCAGGAGGGATGAATCTTTCATTTTAATATTGCTACTAAGAACCTCCAACCATCATTATCTTTAATTCTGCTTCTTCTCAAATAATGTTACCACTAGAATCTGGTGAACCTCCACGTGTTAGTTATATCATATTTGTACTCCCAAATGCCTTGCCAGGAAATGAGTCTGTTAAACCAATGTGGGAATGGATCTTGCTGAAAGTTTTGGGAAGTAGGGACCATCAATCCAATAATGCTGTATTGTACTAAAGATGCTCTTCTCTGAAGTATTGGAAATTCTTCCACAACTTACACAGAGTTTGAAGAATTCCCAGAGTTTCCAGTGGTTGCTTTCAACAGTCTGTTGCTTCATAAACCAGTGATTGCAAGGTGAAATAATCACATCCTACCTCCTCACTTTTCAGAGGAATTAAACTTCTCTAAAATGCCAGATTTGACTTGAATGAAGGCATATTTTTGCTTCAAGAAAGTTTATTTTAAGAGGTTAATCAGTTTCCTGGTTATTGCTGGCTATTGCTTTGGATTTATGGAAAGTGTTTGCTAAACAACTATTTCTCCTCCTTTCCCCCAGAATGCAGCCATTCTTAATTTCATAATATGCTTGTACTTTCTATCAAAGCGTGTTTCTGTTTAGATTTCTTGAACAACTGCTTCTCTACCAGTAAAACAAATTTGATTAGCTCTGCAATTTATTTTAAAAAATGTGAGAGCTGCTACAAACATGCTGGAATCAGATAACATTTTTTTCCAGTGAAAACGTTTATCACTGTTCAAAGATACTCCCTTTTGAAGATGGTGGGACCAGCAATAAAGTTCTGACTTTAATTACAAAGATGTTTGCTAGCCAGCAAGGCAGAGGTAGGTTTTTATATTACATTTATCCTCTTCCATTCCTCCAGCTCCACCATTCAAGGTAATTTTATTTTATTTATATCTTGACATGCACCATGGTTGCAATTTAGCCTGATTTTGACAAAATATTTGACAAAGAATTGCATTACATTTTGGATAGCAAAAAAGGCTTACTACAGGTTAATGGGATTTGTGTCGGGTTGGAAAACATGTTGAAAGAGTAAAGAAATATCTTCTATTAGTAAAATTTCTAATTTTCTTATAGATGTTTCATTACCCAAGTAGGTTACATCACCAGTGCTAGTAGAGAGCAGTGTTTGCAAGAGAGAGCACCAAGGACCCCACAGAGTAAAGTTAGCCCTGGTTCTTCAACAGACTGGAAAATGGAAGCTTGAGTTCCATTGCTGCAAGATTCCATCCTAAGTTTTACATTATTACATTATATGTTTGTTTTTATCAAATATGCAACTGATGGAAGTAGTTTCTAAATTCTTTAATGGAATGGAAAATTGGCCAAAATCAAACAGCCTATTATGTATCAGCATAAAAGATATTTCAGTTTAAGACTATGGCAGTATATTGAATGGTCAGCAATTTCGCAAGAAAAGCAAAAGAAAATCATTACACATGGGTAATCATAGAGCTGCTTAGGAAAAAAAGGGGAATATAAACTCTTAAAGTACAAGAAAATATATGAAATGATTCTTTAGCACTCTCTCCTGACTGCCATAGATTTTAAAAACACAGCATTAGTCTGGAAAGCCAATTTGGATGAAGATAAGAACTTTTTCCAAACTAGAGAATCAAAAAATGAATGGGAGAATTCTTACAAGAGATTGTTTGCTTCCTATCCCACCCAGGACAATTCTTAGATTAATCCAAATCTTATTCTGTAGCCCCCTGTCTCTCTAAAAGAAATTGAACCTCTGATTCTGACTTTGTCTCAGGCAAAGCCCCAGGAGAAGATTATACCTATGGAGATTCATTAAAAGTTAATGCTGTTTGGTGGAAGCCTATTTTGGTTGAACTTTTTAATAACATTAACTCCTCATACTAACTCCCTCAAGAGGAGTTGCAGTGCAAGCCTTAGTGATCCCCATATGAAAAAAAGGTAATCCTCTGGGGAATTGTAGATCAATTAGGGTGATTAACATCACAGCCAGATGTATGCAAAACATCTAGCTAACAAATTAGAGGATTGAGTCACTGAAACAATGTATTTGCAGAGTAGCAGGCAGGGTTTAGAGTAGAATACTCAACAATTTTGCATTGTATGATTTTATAAATATGTTTGTAAAACTTGCCTTCAAGAAATAAATTGTTGTCCTTGTGGGTTTCTGTGGTGCTTTTGATTTTTATCAGTAGAAACAAGTTATGGTTTAAATTAGATAGAAGGCTATTGATATTAATCATGATTGTGTTTAATACACAGGCATTCAAACTCAGATTAGGGTCATCCCAGGAAGACATCTGATCACCTCCAACAAAATACAGATTTCTAAAGGATGTGTGCTTGCACTGCTCCACTTTCATCTATGTATTAATTAGGTCATCCCAGCTCTGAATGGAGAATTTTGTTTCCCCAGGAAATGTGGGAAATGGGAACTTGTCCATATTACCTTATGCAGATGATTTATTGCTTCCATATTACTCTCGGATAAGCTTGCCCAGACAGTTAAGGACACTGGATTGTTACGGTTCCTCAAATTTTTGAATCCTAAAAAAGCAAAAGTGGTGGAATGGGGGAGAGTGGGTAGGCATATGTTAAGTGCATATGTAGAGCAATTGATGTGATGGAATGTGCAGAGGGGGAGGACTTTGGCAACCCAGAGATTTCCTTGAAAGAGGCTAGATTAAGACACTGTGCTGAAGGGGGGAAGAGGTTTACAGAAACCTTCCTAGAATCTCTCAGGATATATCTTGAAAGTTAGAAATAGTGTTGGAAGAATTATCCCTCTGGGTTCAGTTCCAAATGGGGAAAAAGACACTGGAAACATGGAGGCTATTTGGAAAGATGGTTTAATGGTGGACAGGACCACATGGCTTGAAGCTCCAAAGAAGGATGATCACATGCTCCAAGGTGAAGGAAAAGAGAAGGAAGGCCAAGATGCTGAGAGACCCTTATATACCCTCTGTTGGGCCCCACCTTAGTGTTTCATGTTCCTGTGCAAGAAATGTATCCCATTGGCTGTCAGATTCCCAGGGGCGGGGGTCTTAACTTTGTAGGCTTGGTCTGGACCACATGGCTTCACCTGAGTGTTGGCTGATACAATCTTCCCAGGCCAGGTGGTGAGATGTGGGTAGAGGCCTTTATTATGTAGAGCAGGGGTCCCCAACCACCGGTCCGCGGACCGGTACCGGTCTGTGGAACAAGTCCTACCGGGCCGCTGGCTTGCTGGGCGCCGCCATCTTATTTTGATGAAAAAGTGCTTCCGGTGAGCTTTTCCGGGTAGAAAGCTCACTGGAAGCACTTTTTCATCAAAACAAGATGGCGGCGCCCAGCTGATGTCGGTACCGGGCCGCGCAATAAAAAAGGTTGGGGATACGGGGCCGCGGCGTAAAAAAGGTTGGGGATCACTGATGTAGAGTACTCTGGCCTAGGTCTTAATGGCCCATTAGCAAAGGTGGGGGGGCTGAGTTTCTGCCTTTCTGAGGTGAGTTTCTGCTTCTGAGTTTCTACTTTTTT